TCTTGGAAATAAAACACAATGGGTACTCAGCAAATATTTTATATCGCCAACACCTGCTCAAATCCTCTCTGAACTTTATTTCTAAATGTCATCGTTTTTTATTGAATCAACGGAAATTTGAAAGAAGAAACAGAATAAACATCCAGAGAAGATCAAGGGAGTTAGAAAAATCTTTATAGAATGCCTCATTGAGTTTTACATGAGCCAGGGTGCTGTCAGTCTCCCTGAAAGGAGTGGTGAAGTAATCTGTCATTCTACAAATTCGACCTGAGTATTCCTAAAAAAACTAAAAAGGGCTATACACACACAAAAAGAAAAAATAGTATTAAGATTTTTTCTTAATATTATAAGCAAAGGAATCACGAATCAAATTCTAAGCGATGCAAATAAATTCATTTAAATCACAGGCTTGACTTCAGAGGGAGTTTAGTAAACTAATTCAACTTCCTTTATAATGCAGGAAACATAACACTCTTGTTTGAACACTAAGTAGGAGTGAATTCTCCATTTTAGAAGGCAGTTGATGAAAATGAAGGTTTTAATTTATTTTTAAGCCAAATTCTATTTCCCTCTGTAATTTCCACCTGTCGACAAATATTCTGATGCCAGAAATAATGAAGAAATAATTTAAGTAGACTAATTTTACATTATCTGTTAATCTATTTTTATCACACTCAATTAAAAAAACTATTTGATTTAAAATAAGAAATATCTAAAAATCTGGATGTTAATAAAGGAGAACTCGATTTGTAGACTGAGTGAAGACAGGCAGATAATATAAAAGAATAGATCGTGCTTGGTGGGAATAGTGGAAAAATTGAGAATGGCCAAAGAGAACAGCTCATTCCTCATCCTGGAAAGATTGTTCACACAAGAATATGTGTGTCCAATGTTGCTAGATCTGCAACTTTTCCAAGAGAAGGCCCAAATTCAGAATTTTGATGTGAACTACCTTAATTTTTAAAGTGCTGGCAACTAACTTGATTTTTAAAATATTATATAGGACAAACAAAACAGCTTTGTGGACTGGACTCAGCTGTGGCCCACTGATTTGCAACCTCAAATAGTCTTATGCAAAAGTTTTATTTGAAGAGAAAATATCTATAGTTAGTATTCTAAACATTAGTACATATAAAGTGAAATAGCAACATACTATAAATGTTATTTTATCCTTGAAAGAAACTGGTCACAGCAGTCTAAGATTAAAAATTCTCCAAATGTTAGACTGTTCATTGATGCACTAGCCCTCTTTACATAAATATAAGATCTGCAGAGCAAATTAACTCCTTAAAGAGTGTTACGCAAATTTAACAATTTTTAATTGCAAATTTAAAGAATAAATCTCTAGCTAGGCAAGTTCAACTAGTTGACAACACAATTTACTTTAACAAGCCTGGTTTTTCTTATGTTTTGTGACTTTAGTTGATGGATGCTAGAGAATCTTACATTTCTCTTATATTATTATTCTCTACTGTTATCCTAATTCATGAGCAAGCATAGTCAACTGTCAATGAAAGAATCATATATTTGATAATGGATATATAGATCATGTGATTGAAATTTATTTTCAGGACTAATGTTATAAATTGAGAATAGGGAGATTAATTCCCTCTTTGACAGCCTATTTAGATATTTAAAATATCTTTTGTAAAGCTCTATTAAAATCAATTAGATTTCACTTAATTCTTCTTGGCAAAAAAGAACAAAAAGGCCATCATACGCATATCATTATAAAGATGCTAAGAACCATTCAATATTTTACATATCAGTTTTTACACCCAGAGCATGCTGCTTTTGGACTGTATACCAAACATACAAAAACAATAAAGACCAAACTGGATGTGAAATAACAAAAGATTTATATCAAATACAAATAAACATTTCAATAAACTTGGAGTCAGAGAGAATGGAAGAGACTAACAACAAGATGTTTAATTTAAATGACTGATAAAAATAGTGTCGTCTTTTCATAAACCACTTGAATTTTATCTGTATTCAAAAGCAATGGTAAATGTCAAATGACTACTGGACCATCCTTCTGAATACAAGAAAATATAATGCTGTTTAACTCTCTAAACACAAATGTGCTTTTAGAGAAACAAAGATAAAGAACAACATGTCTTAGTTATACAGATCAATTCGAGAACCACGAAATGCTAACAGTAAAGATGTTCAATAACTACATATTTAAAATTTTTGAACTTCAAAAAAAGTTTACAGATAAAAACTTTAAAAATCCAGGATGAATCTGATATCTAAGATCTGAGAAGAGTATCAAGAGTTTATCTGTATGTGAGGAATCCTATTATTAAAGCTAGCAGCATTAAATATAGATCCTTTTTACATATACTATGTATAAAATATTATCTAAAGGCTCTATGATACTTTAATTACAAAAGAAAATAATGAGATTAGTTTAAAAAAGAAAACTAAAAATTTTACATATAAATGTCAATTGTGTGTGAATCCTAGTTATGAAACAAAAAATTGACTCATTAGCCATTTTTTTCCTTGTTTGTCCCCACTCAGTTTTTACTGCAGTAATAATAGAAAAATACATTCATCGGAAAAGCCAAAGAAAGTCAAACAAATGGTCTAAATTTAATAGGAATAGCATGACCTTCTGCTGAACAAAAGATGTTGAAAGAATTAAATGAGAACACGTGTAAAGTGCCTATCAATTACCTAGGTAATAAAGGTTACTTTCCTCCCCATTATCCTTACATGGCTCACTATTATCTCATTCATTAAGTCTTATGTCACCTAGAGAGCAACCTATGAGAGCAGCAGGGACTCAGTGCCCCACAGTCTGAGACACAGTACCAAGTATTTTAGTAGAGGGTTAATAAATGCTTCCTGATTTACCAGGAGATAATAATAATGAACAAATGTAAAACAGATGCTAATTGATAGGCTAAATACATTAGTGCATTCCAGTGCCCTCTATATGAAAGGTTACTAACCCATCTGGGCTAAGTGCTAAAATTATAATTAAGTCTGATGGGAAGTCCTAGATTTATACCAATGTAATTACAAATATTACTTAGCTTAGTGATAGAGTATGGCAAGAACAATGAGATGAGTAATTTAGATGATACTGTAAAGTGGGTTTTAATGTTTGAAACTTCTATTACAGTACACAGGATAAGTGCAAGTAGTATAATTAAAACTTGAGAGTCTGATCTTTAAAACTCTATTGCTCAACCTCATTAAAATGCATGTTTTCTCAATTAATCCAAACTTTTCCATTAAAACATAAAAATACACTTTCATTCCTTGCAAATAAATCTCTACAGTACATATATTTAGGATCAAATACCAAATAACCATTATAGTTAAGTAGGAAAAAACTGATTGAAATAGCAAGAGGTTGCAGGAGAGTCTACCAAAAGAGAGAAAAGGCAAAGTGAGGGCTGCCCACTTTTTCATTTTTAAATATCCAGTTATAGCTAAAATAGCACTTGAAGAGTTAGTAGATTCAAAACCCCTCAACATCTTTGTTTAAATAGTACAAACTTAAGCAAAAAGTTTACTTAGGAGGTAACCATTATAGTCATATATGAACTGTATCCTTAGTCTTCAAGTACTCACTGTTCTACAAAGCCAGTACATGAAAAAGTGTTGTAGAATAAAAAGCAATCATTTTCATGATCATTTTGTTGCATAAACAGTTTTCTCCTTTTATTTCGATGTATTACTAAAAAGTTTATCTCAATATTAAGCTAATGTTAAATATCTAAAACCACAGGATGTTTTTTATGTACTTTATTTTATGAATTGTTATGAAAAACACTTAAAAGATTATTTTAAGTTGTCATATAATTGACTATATAATTGATATTAGAGAATTTTATTTTTAAAATTTTTATCAATTTTCTTTAGATTTCGATGTACTTCATACAGTGGATGATCACCATGTCCCCATTCTAGACTAGCATATTTTTCAAGAAAAATTTTACTAAAAAGAGCCAAGTCAAAGGCTATTACATAAATTAAAAAGTAATGCAGGATAATTTAAGAAAATGTCAGCAGAATTTATCATAACTGAGGAAAATGGAGCCCATGTGATTTTATTTTTGAAGTATAAAAGAAAATTAAAGGTGGAAAGGGAAAGTGTCTTGACTTTAAAGCATTATCAGACAAACTGAATTAAGTCATTGCTGTTATTTGTGGAAAAATATTTAAATCTAAATAGGGTCTAATATCAGCTGAAATAGTGCTTTCTATTCTGAAAGCAAAATATTTTTGATGGATTATCTTGAAAAAACTTTATTCTTCAAGAGATGTTGGGCAAAAATCTTGTCTCATGCCTGTATTTAAGAACCTCCCTAAACTAATCAGATATAGTTCAGTAGTACTACTCTGCAGTTATTTTCATCATTAAAAAGCTCGCATTCAAAGGTTCTTGCCTCTTTTTTTTCCTTCATGCAACATTTCAAAGATGTATGAGTTTATCATTGTAAGAAAAAACTAACAATTTCACACATTTTTATATATTAAATTCTCCATCACATGACGCATTTTCAAAACAGATTATACATATATGGAGAACAAAATATCATCCTTGAGAAAGGATCTGAATGCATAATGTTGGAAATATTTTCTCAGAATCATTTTCCTTAGTAAGTGAACAGTGAAATCAACCATAAAAGTTGTAAAAATGTTAAAGTGACAAATAAGCAATAAATCGTGGATGGGTGACAAAGAAAAATTCAATAGACTGCTATTGTTATAATTGGTTAGGTAAACATTTGAATCTTAGCACAAAAATATACAAACAAACAAACAAACAAAAACCTTGTTGCAAATATAAGCAGTGGGTGGATTAAAAGCATGCATCTAGAAGGTTTCCAAAATTTAAACCGATCTACTTGGAAAGACATGGCTACATTAAATTTTCCTTAAAGTCGATATGCCTTCTTATAATCAAAATTAGTATTTGGTACACAGAACACAGGTTTTCTTCCGGAAACATGTTTTTAAGATGTTACAATCGTTACCTGTCATTTATGATCCAGTTCAGACAAAGATTGAGAGAGCTCAGATTTTTGCACCTCTTGACAATTTCCATCACAGTTTCATTATCCAGTTCAGTGATATGACGTAGGTCCAAGCTGGAAAGGTTTCTTAGCTAATGAGATAAATAAAATGAAAGATGAGAAATGTAAATGCTACATTCATTCTCAAAAATTATAAATATGGTTTATTACAAAGTAGAGAATTACTGTACAATTAACTGTATATACAATATTTTACATATAAATTAGACATAAGGACAGAACTCTACGGTGAATATATAAATAGTAACAAATATTAAAATCAAATAGATTTTATTGAGGTATAATAAAAATAAAAGTTACTAATCTAATATGTGGGGAAGCTGTTAAATATATTGCATTAAGTACCCACAATTTGATAGGATTATTCTCTTTAACACTGTTCGATTTCAGATATTTACCTTCATAATTTTTTTAAAATGAAATAATAGTAAGCGGTTAATTCGGAGATATCTTGGTGATATTTTATCACTGTACTCCAAATATTATTATAAGTTATGTGTTTTGCCATGTGGAAAGCAATGTAACATGTCATTTAAGAAGTAAAGATTTTCTCCAGTTACCATCCCCAAGTCTTCACCTTCTCTACTTTTCTCCTAATGTTTCCTGCTTCCCCTGATATTTAGTCTCCAAAGAAAATTAATATTGTTTACACAGAGATGATAGGATCTTAATTATCCTCTTCAAATAAGCTACATTTCAAATAAGCTATTTTTGCTTAATAACATGCAAAGGATTAATCTGGAGGCAATGTGGTAGGCCCAATAACCTCTCTCCCAAAGATGTCTATAATACGTTACCTTATATGGAAAAAGAGACTTTGCAGATATGACTAACGTTATGGATTTTGAGATGGGGAGACAGATTATCCTGAACCATCAGGATCCAATCTAATCACACGAGTCCTTATAAGCAGAGAACCTTTTCCAGCTAAAGCCAGAGAGACGTAATGAAAGAAGTTTCACGAGATATTTGAATTGTTAAAGGGATTCAGTCTGCCTTTACTGACTTTGAGTATAGAAGAAGAGGGCCAGGAGTCAAGGAATGCGAGCAGCCTCTAGAAGCTGAGAGCAGCCCTGAGCAAGCAACCAGTAAGGAATTGGGACTTCAGACCTACAACTTGAGAAAATGAACTCTGTCAAAAATCTAAAAGAGCAAGAAAAAGATTCTCTCGTTGAGCTTCTAGAAAGGAACACAAGCCAACCAACACCTTGATTTTGGCCTGGTCTATGTCTGATTTCTGACTTATAAACTGTGAGATAACAAATGTATGTTTTAAGGGGCTAAGTGTGTGGCAATTTGTTACAGGAGCAATAAAAATCAGTACACGGCATTTCCAGCACCATAAGGGAGCTTTCCCAGGGCTGGCTCGTCTTCTCTAGCCACCCTCAAATCCTTCGGTAGAGGTAGCAGCTTATTCCTGTAGAAAGCTGAATTGCAGGTGCAACCAAGCTGCCAAATGCCTCAGAGCAGTGAGACAGCCAAGTCGCACTCAAGAATCAGTTGAGCTTCAACCCCAAAAGACAAGACAGTAGAATCTCTGCTGCTGTAGAAACAGGGAAAGAAACACTCTAATATTATCCCAAAGAACCTTCTGCGATTTTAGAGATGTTTTACATCTCTGCTGCCCAATATAGTAACCGCTAGTCACAGGTAGCTACTGAGCACTTGAAATGTGACCAGAGTAAGGTCCTGAATTTTTCTTATTTAATTTTGTTTACATTTAATTTTTATATTTGCACATGGCTAGTGGCTACAGTGTTAGACAGAGCAGTTCTAGAGAATGAGTCTACCAGGCAGCCCTCAAAGCCCTTTTTCTACCTCACAAAGGGAGAAGTGACACAGCGTTCTTGCAGAGTCACCACTCCGATGCATGTTGCAGAACCATGGAGAGAAACAGAAGAGTTAAGAGAGATGAAATATGAAATGGTCCACGATAGTAGGTAAATTCTTTCTAACTGAGACAGCAAGCTTCCATACACTAAGGGCTGAATTCTGAGCATTCACAAAGAGATTTAGGAAAACCTTTCTGCAATCAGCCTACCAGGTCCAGCATGAATTCAGAACAACACTCCGGAATGGAGGCAGGACCAGGACAGACAACATGGGTTCTGACAAAGTTCCTACTCAAGTTACCATGGTCTAAGGGATTTACCAACTTCAGAACACAGTTGGTACATGGCAACCAAAGCACACTTTAAGGCAATGAACTCACCTTTATTAAAATAAAACAGACTGCTCAGGCTATCTCAGTAGCTCCAGACAGCTGACCAGTTAGAACCTCGGCCAACTGCCTATTTCCCCTTCCTCCAGGGTTTCTTCGCCCCTCTAATAATTACAGCCAACACCATGCCCAGGGCCCAGAGGTGAGCCACTCGGGCTCTAATGTTCTGCCCCAAACACAGCCCCTGACCCCCATCCTTTACCTCTCACCATGAATGAGGTAGGCTGGCATTAAACAAACAATAAAAAAATTCGGAAGTATCTAAAGAAACAAAAAAAAGAAATAACTATATAAAATACAAAATAAGTAGCAAAATAAGTTTCTGCAGTCTTTCTGACATCACTAAAATTCACTTAAAGAATCACAAAGCTGATACACAAGTTCCTTGCTATGTTTTCTTCCCTCCCAACTCCTGACATATATCCATGCAGTGGGCACAGGAGGTGAAGTCATCCAGGGTAATGGCTGGGCTTCCAGCAAAGTGGAAGGCTATAAGCCACATGCCAACATCTTTTATAAAGCAGCAGGAGACATCAAGAGTATAGAAGAAGATGGCAGTAAAATGGGAAAGACAATGGTAACAACATATGTCACAAGTCTCAAAGTTTCAGTGTTTTGCTAATTATATTTGTTGTTGTCATTATTTTTAATGAGAAGTAGAAGAGTAATGGTCTGGAAGCAACTATAGAGAGCAAAGAGGATCTTGGCCCTATCTCCTGACCCTGAAAAACTCAGTGAGAAAATTAACAGATGTGGCAGGCAGACCTCCATGACCCATGCCCTAGTATAATCTTTGCCCCTTTCATGTGGGCAGGACCTCTGAATATAATGGAATAGCCTCCTTATAAGGCAAAGGTGAAGGGATTTTGCAATGTAATTAACATCCCTGATCAGATGACATGAAAGAGACAGTATCCTGGATGGGCCTGACCTAATCAGTTCAGCCTTTACAAAGGGTCTAAAGGTCAGAGACATTCTCCTGCTGATCTTAAAGAAGTAACTGGCCACGATATGAGAGAAACTACGAGAGACCCTGTGAGAAGACCACATGACAAGGATCTGCGAGAAGCTTCTAGGAGCTGAGAGCAGTCCCTGGCTGATGGCCAGCAAGAAAATGGGGACCTCAGTACTATAATTATAAAGAACTGAGTTCTTCAAAAACCACACAAACTTATAAGAGGTTCTAAGCTCTGGAAAATAATGCAACCTCAATTGAGACCCTGATTATAGCTTTGTCAGAGGGGTTAGGGGGACTTGCTAAATTTCTCAAACCAATCCTCACTCATGGAAAGATGAATTTAATGAAAATGCTTCATGAAATGTCTGCATGGTGCCTGGCTTTTTATTCAATCCATATTTTATGAACAGTCACATGTTTCCTATGCATGTCTTAATACCACAAGGTAACTGTCTTTTCACACTCACTAAACTTTTATTTTTCACAAGATTTTGCATTCAGGCTAAAGAAGTGGCTGAACTGTTTTCACTGGTCAAGTTTTCTTATTCTTGACTAAGCAAAGATGAACCTGCACGTCAAAGATCACAGACACCATTAAATTTCATGTTTGTATTATTAATGGTCCCCATATTAATGGTAATATGTTCTATATTTCTATTTTCCATACAAAAATCTATTTTCTATATAAAAATCACCATTTTCTTAAAACACATTACTTTTACAGTCAGCTTTCTTTATTTTTGATCCCAACACCCCAAAAGTTTCGCTATTGAAAACATACTATTCTGGGAACATGTAAAGAACCAAACAGCCTCTTTGAGTTGCAGGTGCAGGTGGCCTTCTGGGCTCATGTCCTGACAGCAGCCACATGTCTGTACAGTAGCAAAATCAGAAATACATGAAAAAGGCTGCTTGAAAATCCTTTGAGGCATGCCTATTAAACCTATGATGTTAAGGATGAATTCTGCTATGTATAACCATATACATGTGTGAACTGTTAAATATAGCCACATACAATACACATATAACTTCACCGTATTTTCCTAATTATCCCTTATTATAGTTGCTAGGAAGACACAAAAATCATAAAAATTTTATCTAATCACATAAATTATCTCCTATACATACATATTTGGGAATCTAGTGCAACTTCTGACACAAAATTTCTAAGTGAATTCTTACATATCTCTTAACTTCCTTCACTGTAAAATATCTCTTTATCCCAGCAGTGTGAATGTACTTAATACCAATGAACTATACACTTTAAAATGATTAAAAAGGTAAGCTTTATGCTATGTACATTTTACCACAACAAAAACAACAAAAAAAATCACTTCATCAACCAGGACATAGTAAGAAGATACAATAAAGTTCCATAGAGAAAATTTAAAGTTGTTTGTGCCAATTCAGTCTCCTCACATTGCGATAACTGAGGACCAAAGAGGTTTGAATAACTTATTAAAGTGCAGATAATGGGGAGAGAAATGTTAGCAAATCTAAACTATTTTACAAACTTGGGAAAATTTAAAGTTATCTTCTAGAACTGCAGGAAGTAATAATTCCAGTAACTATCTATGTGTGTTAAAATTGTATTTCTAGTTGACTGACTCAAGCTTTTAGAAATCCTGCATCCAGGCCCATTTCTCAGTGCTGGGCCACTTGTGGCTGATGCTGCCCTGTACTTCTTATTCATAAATGGAACAGCTCTTACTCTTCCAATAGAGAAAAGACTCATACATGAGGAAACAGATTTCTCACATGCCAGCATTCTTTTGAGATCTTGAAGAGCGTTTTACTCTTGGATTCAATGAAGGCTCATTTTTTCATGACAGTCACTGACTCTGCTCATGTGGCCTTCCCTATGACCATTTTAACCTGTTCAGCTTGAAATA